ACACTTGGAGGCTGAAATACTGTTGTCAGTAGTAGCTGTGTTATACTTGCCAAGTCACACAAGTGCGTGTGACATCTGATATACTTGGGTTTCCATTTAACTGACTGGTGGCCTCAGCAGCCAGCATTAGCTCTGTCCTGAGCCATCATAAACACCATTTCATTGTTGCCCACACAATCAACATTTGCACACCACACAATTGAGTCATGAAAAATATCCATATAAATCGCACAGGAAGTCCAGGTATCATGATACATGCCTATAATCCTAGCACTCTGTGAGGCTGAGGCAGAAGGACTGCAAATTTAAACCTAGCCTGGGTAACTGAATGACTTAAGGAGACCTGTCTCAAAACAAAAAAAATTAAAAAGGGCTAGAATGTAGCTCAGTATGAAGGCCTATAATTCAGTCCTCAGTTACTTCTTCACCACAAAAAAATCCACCAAAGTAAAATCGTACAATTTTGTGGAGTTGCATAACTAGCTATCTAGGGCTACATGTGGCTTACAGGCTATAGGTTGGACATGCCTGAACAAGCCTTGGAGAAAACTTCCATCTCAAAAGTACACATACGTACTGCACATATATATCTGTTCTGACAGAGCTAATTTGTCCTGGAACTTGTTAGAATTTGGAATTTGTAGGTACTAGTAGAAAAATGGTATGTTATAAAGAGTACTAGCTGGAGTTTCTGTTGCAGTTCTGTTACTACATATCTGTTTGTGCTGAAGAAGATTACTTAAATCTCTCTAAACCTATGTTCTCCCTGGGAAAATGGAGATGGTAACATTGCTCATATCGGGTTGTGAGGGTTTAGTAAGGTCATGTAAACGCTGACATGTATTAACTTTTATTTCCTTTCTCATCTGGTTGTTTCTCTTCTTTTACATTTTCTTTCATTAAAGGTTTAAAAGAAGAATCATGGGAGGAAATAGAACTGCACATTCATTGAGACTGAGGTTTTAAAATTCTTTTCTATTACAAGAAAAAAAGAAAAGATGGATCCTAGTGTTGTCACTTACCCATCTTCCTCTTCCTGGTTATCATTTCTTCAGTAGAAAAGAATGTGCTCGATGTGGTTTTGAAGCAGTGAATAAACTGGTGCTGCTGATCGTTGATGTAGAGGACTGGCTCTAGTTTATGGACAGCGTTCTGAGGAATTTTGACTTTATGTTGTGTATAGTTTCGTTTAAGCCCAACAGCAGGTGGGAGACTGAGATAAAAAGCTGTTAGCCTAGAAGACTTGTCAGCTCCTCCTCCTCCCTGGGTGCAGGCTAGGGCAGAATAAAGTATGGGAAGGGACGGAGGATATTTGAAGTAGGCTGGGTAGTGGAGCTGTGGATATAGTCTCCAGTGAAGCAGAAATGGAAATGGAATTTCCTGGCTTGGCTTCTGTCTAAACATGTGACCGGGACACTGAGGTAAAAGGAGAATTGTAACTTGAAAAGCATGGAATACGTGTAATTTATTTGAATCTCTCTCAGCAGTCTCTATCAGGCGTGGGAATGCAGGATCAAAAGTGACCGAGAAGATTCGTGATAGGCGCTATAGTACAGCAGAAATGAGAGCTTCTAGGTGACAGAAAGGCCTTCTAGAAGTGTCTGACTCCCAGGTCCACGGCAGATGGGCAGGCAGATGATGCCAGGGAAATAGGAAAAAGCAGGATGAGCAGGCCCCGATGTGACTGCTAGGTTGTTACAGCGTATGCAAGGCCAGATGAGGGAGAAATAAACACTCATGGGTAACGAGGAGAAAGTGACGGAAGGACTTGGCAGAGGAAAAAAAATGAGGGTCATCACGTTTGTTTCTGTGGCTGAAGTACAGGTCAGAAAAATGTGACCAAGCGAAGGGACAGTGAAGTCTATGTCACATGGACCCATGTCACTGGCGTGACTATTGAGGATAATGAAGAAGATGGAGGTGGGAGGGGAAACTGAGTCCTAAAGTCCCCGGGGGTTTAAGTGTGTGTGAGGAGACATAAAAGATAATGGTGGTCAAGTTCCTCTCTCTTTGTTTCGTCTTTCTTCCCAAATAAAGGGTGTGCCAATGCTCATGCTCCAGCATGAGCCTTGCAGGACTTTGTACAAAATGGAAATGTGGTACAGAGGGCCAGGTCTTATCCTCGGAGAGGTGACTTTTTATTAGGATTTCTATGAATTGCTTCTTAGATGGTTCAGGTCCTCCAAGGCCCAAGAGTGTCAAATCCAGGCTTTTAATTATTTTGCACTCTCAGTGGAATTTATTTCTTCAAGAATAAAATGCCATGCAAATAGGAAAATTATTAAAAATCATTTGATGGAAAGTATCACCTGCACTAATAGAAACTAAACCCATAGTTCATTGTATTGTGTTGGATTAACAGCCCAGCAGCAATTCATTTTTCAGGGTTTTCATGTGTGTGTGCTTTTATGACTTATATAAATCAAGTGTAGTATAAATGGTCATTTGTCTTTCTTAAAAAATGTGGAATGATTTGGCGAGTTACAATTTAACTTTCTTGTCTTATTTTGTCACATATTTTATGGACATTGATCTTAACCTGTTTTCTTCCTTGAAATTTCATATGAAGCGTGTATAGGAAATTTTACCAGATCAGGTTGGAAGGAATTTTTATTAATATGTATCTGTGGTTTGCCGCTCTGGATATTTAAGTGATGTGGGGACCTCTGGTGGCTTAGCTTGTTTTTCCACTTGAAAGAAAAACTGAATCTCAGCAGAGAGCTACACATTGGATTCTAATTGGAAAGGACCTTAGAGATCACCTAGGAGGGTTTATCATTAGACAGGAGAAGGACCTCAGCCCTGTAAAGGTTAGATATCTTTTTTAAGATCTCAGCAAAACCAACTGACTACTTTTTCTGTACCTTGCCACTGTTCCCTTGGAGAATAAGTTAGTAAATAAATGTGTGTTATTCTATAAGTCCTAAATACTCAATGGTGAAAATGCCTCTTGTATCCCAGCCATCCTCTGCATCCTCACTCCCCCTATTCCAGGTCTCAAAGTTTCTGAGGAGACCACTGAAGCAGCCTCCAGGTGTTTTGCTCTGAACCTCTCCCCTTTTGGTGTGTTCACTCCCTACCACTCAAGAAATTGTGCAAAAACTAGGTCCTGGGCTTGTCACTCTGTTACTTAAACTTCCTGTCTGAGTCACCAGTGCCATAGGCTTCTTAACATGATCAACAAGATTTCAAAACAAGTCCATTTGAAAGAAAAGTGGTATTTCTTATACAAATCTTTCTTTTTTCTTTCAAAGCATTGCTCTGCCATTTATGTGTGTAGATGACCTTGGCTATATTGTTTAAACTCTTCAGATCCTATTCTTCTCCTGTGAGGTGGGAATGGTAGAACTTGCCTCAGGGAATTACTGCTAGACCCAATTGTATAAAGACTATAATATAAAGTACCCAGCACATAGTAGGTGTTTGATGGATGGTATTTCTTTTTGGTTGCTTAGCTCATTGCATCATAAATTTCCACTGCATTACATGGAAAGCTTCTGGAGAACAGGACTTTACTACCATATTTCATAAATTAGTGCAATGTCTAGCATGGGACAGGTGCTTAAGCATTATTTGCTGAGTGGAGTTGAGCTATGATATCTTAAGCAAGTAGTTTATTCATTGTAAACTCCTAATTCTTTATGATAAAAAGAAGAATATTTAAATGAAATAATGCACACTTAGCGTGTTACCTGTTTATAGTTACCCTGGCATCTTGGTTCACAAATTTAATTCTTTCCATGATTCTGATTGCAAACCAAATTGGTCATGAATTGAATCAGATTCCCCTATTAGGTCAGCGTTGACCCTAACCATTGAATTTGATTTGGTTTGTGACCAATTCAGTTTATGACCAGAATCATGGAGAGAATTAAGTTTGTGAACCGAGGTGCCACTTAGAGTTCAATACATGGTAACTGATGGTAAAAATCATGCTTATCCTTAAAAACTGATGATAAAGTATTGGCTGTGGCAGGGCGCCCTCTACAGAATTCATTCTTCTGTGTATACCCTTTCCCCAGGCACCACTTGCAGCTTTGGCTGCATTTTCCTGCCCCTGGCACAATTAATCATTACCTATCCTTGGCTGTCCATACTCCAAAAAGATGGTTATTGGGGAAAATCAGGTCTGAAAAACCTTGGGCTGAACCCGGACCATGTGACTTATATGACACTGGACAAGTTAATGAAGCTTTTCGGTCCCGTCAGTAGTTGAGGCCATAAGAGTAATGATATTTAGCATAAGATTGTTGATGTGTTGATCTGACGTACTAAAACGTGGATTTTATTTTGAGCAGGGGTGGATTTTATTTTGAGTAGGGGTAATTAATCTTGACTGGAATATTATAGGTGCCCCCAAAATATGTAATGACTTGCAAATAGCAGCAAAAGCTTGTCAATGTTAGAAAACCATGACTCCAAACAAGGAGAATACATGTGAGGCACCATAGAAGAGTGGGTGGAGGAAAAGTAAAATTAAAAATGGTAAAACAAAATGTGGTGTTAAGCAAGAAAGTAGAAAGCCAATACTAAAAATTTTTCAAGTGGAAAAAATAATAAAACCAAGTTCAAATAATAAAAATATGATTGCTATTGGAACAAGTAGAGAAGATAGAACTATAAAAATAAAAATAAACAAGAAAAGAAAATAGAACATTTCACATAAAGGAGTAGGAGTTGAAAAACTGCAGCTCTGAGAGTATATTAATAGCCAGAGATTTATAACTTCCGGAATTCCAGACATTGGCTCATTTTGCCCTCAGGACAACCAGGGAAGTGGGTGATCAGAGCCCTCATGGTAGAGTTGAAGGGACAGTTTAGCAAAGTTAGTATGCAGGCAGACCCAAGGCTTGGATGTGAACCTCCTCAGTCCAAGCATCATTAAATTATGTTCTAGAAAGGTAGAGGATTAAATATGTTGATAGTTTATAAATTAATTTATTTAGCATTGAATGACTTAAGACTGAAAATTATTGTGGAGATGTACATTTGTCTTTCAGTTTATGCCTGTTCAGGTACCAAGTGATGAAGAAATAAAGGATCCCATTCTTTTTGCCAGTAGAGTCCGGAATTTAATGGCAGAGTAAGTATCTGTATGAGCTTATGACCAGTAAATACTTTGAAAATTATTAGTAAATGTCACTTAACATAGTTTTAAGGCATTTTTTCCTCCCATGAGGGCCTCACTTCCCAACTCATTTTGACCAGGAATGTGCCCAAAGACAGTCAGTGAAACATTATATAAATATTTCTCCAGCTGCAGCCCCAAATTAATGGAGATACATCTTTTATCAGATAGATGGGGAGGGGGGTAGTGATAATCACAAGAGATCAGGCAGTACCTTCCAGACGTGGAATCTCCCTAGCTGGCTGGTCACTGTCAGAAAATGCCTGTGACAGTTTCAACAGTTCCTTGCTAGGCTGGCCTTCTGTTCTCTCAGCTCCGTCCAGCTGCCTAAGGAAGGGTATTTCACAGGTATGAATGATTATAGCGCTAAAATGGAGAAAGTTTGCAAAGGGAAAAGATGCACAGGAAAGGGAAAAAGTTACACTTATGAAGGAACAGCTATAAATTTAGGACTTAGAAACTGTAAAACATAAGGTACTTTCCTGCACATAAGGTGGTTTTAACTGGTTAGTGCTGTGATTAGATAAATCACCCTGTCTTGTAATGAAAGAATGTGCTACGCCATTACCACCACCCAGATAGCCTCAAGACCCTCCAGATATGCACCCTCTCTCCGGGCATCACCTCTCTTAGCAGGAGGGAGGAGATTTGGAGCTAATAGGCCAGCAGTAATTCTTTTCTGTTATTAAAAATTCAATATAGAAATTCCAAATTTAGCTTCAGAGCTGAATTTGGTCTTGTAGCCAGATTTTTAACATACAACTATATATAATTTGACATATATATAAACACATATATATCTTAATACTTCACAGTAAAATAAATCTTGTTTAAAAATAGAAAGAATATTTAGCCAAAAAAAATTTTTTTGCTGCTAAGTATGCTTGCTTTGTCTAGTGTCTAGGTCAACTACAAAATTTGCTTTTATATTATTCTCTTCTGTTTCTTTCATATGTTTTCATACCAGTTTATGTTCAAAAGAACATAAGAACTAAGATAAGTATCAGGAACTGAGAGAATTTATATCAGATATTTTGGTTTCCCAAAATGTACCTAAAAATAGAGAAAGGATTTGATTAGGCAGCCTTCTGAATTTGGAGAGGTGTTAACGGCCTAACATGAAGAATAGAAAGCAAAAGCAAAAACAAAAAAGACTTGTTTAACTGCACAAACTTGAATGTAGTCCCTTCAAAATTTCTCTTCATGTGTGAAATGGGAATTAAAATTATTACCTTGCTGTTTTCATGGTATTGATTATTAATGAGACTCAAGCAGGAAAGTATATTATGAAAGCATTTCAAAATAGTAAGGAGCAAAGTAGGCGTAAGGTAATGGTGGTACTGCTAAGTGCTACTAATAAATATTCACCGCGTACTTTGGTAGGCCCTTTCCTAGTGTTTTCTAACATTACCCGCATAGCAACTCTGTGAGGTAAGGAAATGCACTCTGGAAGGTAAATAGTCGGCCTAAAATTATACTACATAGTAACCGGGCTGGAACTTGGAGTCACATATCCTGTTACAAAAGCTCAAGCTCTTAACTATTATGCTGTACTGCTCGGTATTATAATTCCTGAAATATTTTTACTTTTTATATTTCATCTGAAATATTCTTATACTAAAATATTTATTATTCAGAAATAGGCCAGAAAACCTATTTTAGATAGGTTTAAGTATTGTTCTGGTTGCATTCATTCAAAATTTAATGTTCCTTACAATGATCTAACAAAGTCAAATACAGTTTAAGATGCAATTTTGTGATTTTCACTGAATATTTGTGAATAAAACTTTAATGAAAGATAATCTTTAGGGCATTATTTCCTATATTGTCCACCTTTTCTTCTTGATACTTTTTTTTGCACTTCTTATTAATATCTATTTTTTCTAAATCTGTTTCGTATCATTTAATCTCTGAAAAGTTGTGAGGTAGACAGCAAGACATATTTTCCTTTGAGAATAGAGGATATTAGATCTAGAAGAAATATTAGCTTAGTGTCAACTTGTTTCTGTATTTTTAGAAGACTGTAGCAAGAAGGTTGACTTTTAGTTATAAAAATGCAAAACAAAAAGAAAGGGTGGTTTGGAAACATTTTTCACTTGAAGCATGTATAAATGCCATTTATCGGTTTAAATAGTACCTTTACAGGCATTCTTATTTTGTCCTTACCATACCGTTGTGAAGTAGAGTTATTATTCTGATGTACAGATGAAAAAATGAAGCTTAGAGTATAATACTGAAGTGTCCGCATCTGGTAAAAGACCTAGTTAGAACTTCAACATAAGTCTTTTGAGTATTTTCCATTAGATAGAAGAAAAGTATTAACTATCAACTATTGTTGTTCTTGTTGAAACACAAAAATTATCACCTACATAGACAGACGCATGCAGACAGGAGGAGTTTCACTTGAGCCATTGTAAGTCTGTGAAGAATTAGAGAAACGTGTCTTTGGCAAGAAAAGCAGTAGTCATTGAACTAAGAAGTAGTAAATTCTCCTTTTTTGGTACTAGGAATCGAACTCAGGACCTTGCACTTACTAGGCAGGCACTTGTGCCACTGAGCTATATCCCCAGCCCAGTAAATTCTTTCCATTGACTATTATTTGCTGATTGACTCAAGCCTACTGAAAAATCGTTACTTTTTCAAAAACAATTGAATTTCAGTTTTCTTTTTTTAATAATTTCAGAGCACTAGGAATCCCAGTCACAGATCACACCTACGAAGACTGCAGACTGATGATCTCAGCGGGACAGCTGACATTGCCTATGGAAGCGGGGTTGGTGGAATTTACTAAAATTAGCCGGAAATTGAAGTAAGTGTATTTTAAAATTACTGCACTTTCCTAAAAGTTTTCAAAAAGAGTCTGAAATCGTATTATGTTTATTTTCTCTTGCTTTATTATTGCTCAGCTCTAGGACCATGTGATGTTTATCAAGAAAGCCAGGATTCTGGATTTATCTCCCATTTTACCTACATTTTTTCTTTTTTCAAAACTAGTCAACGACATGTGCATCAGTCACAGGGTGAAAACAAGACATAGCTGTAAATGTAGCTCCACAGAGATCGTCTTCCTGTTTGGAAATGGCTCAGGGTAGTGGGTCAGTCTTGTGGCGTTCCTTAAAAAGGGGTAACATATGTACACGACACTGACATGAGGTGGTCAGAATTTCACTTGTGAAAAACTTGTATAATAGCAATTCTGACTGTCACTGACCATTAAATACTTAGCTAGATCAAACTGTTTTCTGATATCTATTTTTTAAGGCAAAACACACCTTTGTGCATTATGACATTTAGATGTATGTTAGGTCACTTGTTCAGTTTTATAAGGCAATGACAGGATGTTGGTGTACGCTATAGTACATTTTCCAGTATTTATCACCCAGATTTTTTTTCTCTGATATGGAGGAAGTGTATCTAGTCTAATGAACCTCCCTATCATAACCTCTTTTGAACGATGAAGTCAGTTTCAACTTGAGAACAAGATTTGCATACAAAATTTATAATTTCTTTTGTAATAACTCAGTAAGTATTGTTGACTTACTAAGTACTGTTTAGGTTGAAATTTATTTTCTCATAATTCATTTATTATTCAACTACACTACTTTTCTTGTTTACTTCTGTTTCCCTCAGATATTTTGGATATTTATCAGCTGTACTGAAATGCTCTTAAAAACTAAATGCTTTACACATGTGTTCCATATGTACTTTTAAGTACCCACTTTATTCTCCTTTTCAAATTTAGCACATATTTTCCCCTCAAACAGTGAAACAATGTTCACAAGATGTTCATATGAATTGGAAAGGACTAATGACTTTTATTTATAATTTTTGGTTTAGATTAGATTGGGATGGTATTCGTAAGCATTTGGATGAATACGCATCTATTGCAAGTTCCTCAAAGGGAGGAAGAATTGGAATTGAAGAATTTGCAGAGTATTTAAAGTTACCTATTTCAGATGTCTTGAGACAACTTTTTGCACTCTTCGACCGGGTAGGTTAAAACTTAATCTTTAACGTTTTACTCTGCCAATCCCTATAGAAGATAAATTAATATGACAGGCATTAAGAAAACTTGCTAGGTTAGTGTTAAAAGAATCAGGGCTGATCTTGTGCTTTAACTGCATGACTTAATTTTCCCCTTAATATGAATAATTGTGTGCATGAATGTGTAACATTTATGACGGTACCTATTTCTCTTTAAAATACCAGGTCAAAAAATAAATATTATGGCCATATAGCCACAGATATTGTATGGAATTGGAAATATTTGTATATCAAAATTTATACATTGATGGTGTGAATGGTTGTGTTCTATTCTGAAGATTTCTGAATTCCCCCTAAATGTATGCAGACCAAATAGACTTTATTTTCAACTAATGTTTTATAGCAATGGTTTTAAGTAAATTTATTGTCACCTGTGAATATGTAAATATGTACCATTAGCTAATTGTATTGTCCACTGAATTTTCAATAGGAAAAATGTGTCAAGATTTCAAGTTCTCCATTTTTTAATTTGTTTTTTAATGTATGAAATCAGTAGTAAACTATACACATTTGATTACAATTCTTGCAAATACGTAAACACGTTACTACCACTACATTCAAGATACAATGGCTATAAAAGTGATGGTGATGATGATGATGATATTGATAATTCCTTTGACGTTACCCATGCAGTCAAGCCCTTCTCCTACCTGTAGTTCTTGACAGTCACTGTTCTATTCTCTATCCCTATAGTTTTGCATTTTCCAGATGCCATATAAATGGAATCATGTACTATTTTAGTCTTTTGATTGTGGCTTCTTTCATTTAGCATAATGCATTTGAGGTTCAGTAATGTACGTATCAATAATTTGTTCCCTTTTATTGGTGAGTGGTATCCCATTATATAGATGTACCATAGTTAATCTATTCCTTAGCTAAGGAACACTAGATTTGTGTCCAGTTGGGGTCAATTACGTATATAGTTGTGAGCTAAGCATTCATGTATAGGTTTTGGTATAATGTAGGTTTTAACTTCACTTTACTTATGTAAATACTTAGGAGTGTGATCTCTGTATTTTACCTGAAGATGATTGTATTTTACATTTGTTCTGAAGGATATTTTTGTGGTATATAGAATTCTGAGTTAACTATTCTTGTAACAATTTGAAAATGTCCTTTTGCCACTAAAGCTCCGAGGTTTTGCACCCCCACTGCTCCCTAACTTTTAACTTTCCTTACCAGTTCTCCTGGTATTTTGTCCAGAGGTGGTTGCTTTTTGTATTTTGTTTAGAAATGTTAGTTGTAATTCGGAGAGAACAGTTACACTGGGCTTGTTCTATTTTGGCTGGTACCAGGAGTCCCAGTTCACTAGAAAATGTCTTTTGCAAAGAAATTATATCGTGATGACAGAGGAAAAGGCTGTTTTCTAGAGAACCCTAATGTTCCAACTGTGCCCTTCTGTGATCACATAGATGAACTATTCTATAACATAATGCTGTTAAGCAAACTTCTTCTATATATAGTGCCAGAGCCTCTCTTCTGGGCTTGCGTACAGCAGACAAATAATTTGTCCTACTGCATAAAATGATAATGTACCAGTGCCACAGTATTATTGTAAAGTATTATGAAGAATTAAAGGGAAATTATTGTATGTAGCCACGAAAGTTGGGAAATTAGAGGTATCTTTTCACCTTTATAACCAGAGGTCTTTCTCTGACGTTTATTTTATTTTATTTTATTTTTTTGGTTTTCCTCCGGTACCGGGAACTGAACTCATGACCTTGTGCTTGCCAGGCAGGCGCTTTTGCCGCTGAGCTAAATCCCCAGCCCCTCTCTGATGTTTATATAGCAACTTTCACTATGACTCTAGAAACTAGGTAGCAAAATTTAAATATATCTCTGTCTTTGAAACTGGTGACAGGAAGGGATAGAAAAAAGTACATGGAATGGAGAAATGGGAAGGGATATGAAACAGAGACAAAGGAGGAAGTTTATAGCATATCTTAGACATCAGGTTTGCAAGAATTTTTAATCAAAGGTAAAAATAGTATGTGCTGAGATGGCACTGTCCTTGGACTGTCAGTCATAGGGGACAGTTACAGAATTGTTAGGACACCAGTTTTCTCTTCTGATGATTGAGGGCAGCTGCCAACAGCATTGTTTCTAAAGCACCTTTAAGGATAGGAAGATTTGGGAGTGGGGAAGAGAGGTGAAGCAAGGGTGAAAAGCAAGTCAATTCGGTTAACAAGATTGACTCACTCTGAACTAGAAGAGAGACAGTTGGCCAGAGGCAGATTGGAGACTGGTCATTTGGGTAATCACATTTCCCCACGGATTGCTTCAGTGGGCTCACATGTCATTTGTAACTGTTGAGTTTTCTTTACTTCTTTGTGTGGTAAAATTTAGCTCTAGATGCAAACCATAAGCTGGTGAGGGGCAGGGCAGATACCTGCAGAGTGGACGTGGGTAGCTCTGAGACAGCAGAGTCTTGTTTGTGCTGGTTTCCTAGGTTGCTCACAAAGGTATTTACTTGCTCCAGTGAGTTGGTGACAGTGCCTATGGGATGAGGACTTCAAGGTAGTGGAAATCTGCATGGCTGAAAATTCTTTGTAAGCTGGAGAATGAGTGGGCATGACAGGCTTAGATCATTCATCTCTGCTGCAAAACTCAACAGTGATATGTGTGTGAGCACTCACACTCCCAGAAATGGCAGGGACTGGGGTGCCATAAGACTAAAGCCTTCTGGTGCCATCAGCTGTTCCATCTACATGGATAGATATTTGGATATTATGTAGAATGAATATCTCATTGTCTCTATGAAGTCTGTCCACATCTTCTATACCTAGTGCCTCTGAGACTCCCTGATGAATGCTAACACTTGCCCAACTTGTAGGAAGGTAAACCCCAAGTGGTACCCCTCTATACATGACGAGCTCTGAGCTTCTCATGAGAAACAGATAGATGGATAGACAGACAGCCTGGCTGGGCTTTCTTCCATCTACCTCATTTCCTGAGCTCAACAAGACTGTTTCAAAACCAACATCTGATATGTAAACTGCTCTTTCCTTTCCCACCCCTGCTGAAATTCTTTTGTTATCTTCAGCTTGGTGCTGTGGAGCTGCACCTAGACTCGCTCCCAGGCTGGCTACTCACTTCTGCTTCCGTGGTGTGGCCTGGTCCCAAAATGCAAGGAGAGTCAGGCACTTAGGAGCTAAGGATTGGGGCTGCTTGTGTGCCAAGAAGTTTCCTTATTGGAAGGCTTACTCAGCTCTCTTGGGAGCATGGTCTTCGCAGGCATCTATCAGTCCACCAGTCTGCCTGTCATGCAGTGACCAAGCCAGACCCAGCCCATTGCAGGAACCCATTGCAGGAACAGCTGCTAGACTTTTCTTCCTTTGAGAACCAGAAGTGATTTGTGATTCTGCCTGTACCTTACTACTGATGTGCAGTATTGTCTTCAAACTATGAGGACCTCTGGAGGGCAATCCCAAATTCCTAAGAACGCAATCCCATGTCTTAGCAGATGGGAGGCAGCACCATCAGTGTCCTGCTTGAGACCTCCTTAGAGCTGCTGCAGAGCAGTGCTCCTCTTGCCTGTCTACATGCCAGCGATTCTCAGGAACCTTTTCTTACTCCGAAGTCCTCTATCTGGTGCAGAACATGCAGGTCAGGGGCAGGTGTGTGCTGGGTGTCCACCCTTCTCTGATTAAAAGCCACCCTGCGTTGGCCATGTGCCCTGCAGACCGCTGCTCTTCAGTTCCCCACTGTCTGATGTCTGCCTCAGTAGCTGTAGGAGGTGGGAGCAGCAGTTGGGGCCTTATGCTGCTCATTCCCTTGTCTTTGCCCACATCGCCATCTCTGTTTTAGAGATGTCTCTCCCACCCAGTGATACTATTCCCAAAACTGCTGTTCAACTGCTGGGCAGGTTTTGGTTGACAAAGTGCAGTGGCTGTCCCTCTATTAGCAAAGCCCAGCTCATAGGCTCTGTTCAACCCACAGGTGTGCAATACATCAGAGCCTGTAGGGGCAAGAGAGTTACCCAAGCCAGCTGTGAGGGCACCAGGACTAGGGGCTGGTAGGCAGGGGCCATGAAGGGCCAGTTTGCCTCTCTTCCACTCCCTCCTCAGAAGGTTTCAAGCCAGGATGAAGTACCTTCATGGTGGGGTAGGGGTGGCTCCAGCTTTGCTAACGATAACTGACCTTTAGTTCCTCCTGCTGAAGGAGCAGGGACCCGGAATTCACTTTAATGGAGGCCGAAGGTGTGTCCCTCCTCTATGTGAAAAGATAATGGTTTATTCTTCATTCTGAGTTTTTAAAAAAATTCTTTGGTTTACTACCAGTTCATTTGAATGAGTAATAATTTTCTCCATGAAGTGGGAGAGGGTAGTAGGAAAGTCAGCCCCCATCACTGTGGTGTCCCGGGCCTGCCCTCCACATGGTCATTACAGCTGCTAAGTCCTCCCTGTGTTTCATGAGGTGCTCGTACTCCATTCTGATGGTGACCAGACTGGAGGGCCAGGTGACCGTGCCGCCATCAACCCGTGAATGTGGTGACACCCATTTAAAACTCTGTTTCATCCATAAAAACAGCATACATGGCTCACGGATCATAAAATTGTGTTCATCCTAAACTGAATTGGGAACAACATGTATTTTATTTCTGCTAATCAGTAACTGGAAAGTAGGAAAAGGCCCAAAGTAGGAAAAGGTCTGTGTGAAGAAAATCTCTTTCCTTTCCTCAGTGTACATAGTTCAATTCTTTGTTATGTTTAAACGATATCAACAGGCATCAGTCTGTTTGGGCTCCTGCTAGTGTTACGGATGAAAATAAAACCATTAGGTTGAACCAAGAAAAACCCCAGAAGCTAGATTATAAAGTGTTTTTCTTTTGATTTCCAACGTACTAGAAGATTGAGGAAATAGTCTGGAGAATTAATGATTAATGCGTTTGAGCTCCCTTCCCCCTCCGCCTACTCTTTCCCTCTCTCTTTCCCTCCCTCCCTCTCT